GGGGTTGAGGGTGAGGGAAGGAAATGGGTGTGAATAGAAAATGGCAATAGGAAGGATATTAGTGGTGTTGTGCAGGAGACAGCCTATCGAATCGATGTTCTGCTCTCACATAGGTGTTTCTCTCTCTCCCAACTCTTCCTCTCTCTCTAAAAGTCAATACAAATATCAAAAAACAAAAACAAAATACAAATGCTTAATATATATAACTTATTAGATAAATTTTGAGTGTGGCAGTTTATAACCAATTTTCTAATATCCTAGCACTTGGCAGTCAACTTAAAAGCACTTAATTATGTACCATCTTCAAAGGGATTTCTCTGGCAAAAGATAAATTAATATCTAAATTAAAGCTCCTCAGTGATGAGAATATTGAGAAAAAAGCAAAACTGAATTGAGATAATACTTTGAGCCCTTTATCAGAATGTGCTTTGCCCCCTACTTTTACAGAGGATGTACTTTCCCATAGTATTTTATTTTCAGATAATCCATATACCTCAGCTAAAAGATTCTTGTTTTTCACCAACAAACCAGCAAGGTCAGGATGGTCTGGGTCAGCAGTCGTTTTGCTGTATATGATTGGGTTCCTGGTGGAAACTTCTTCAAGAGGTGGATCAAAACAAGCCTACAAAGAAAAATTACAAATTAACTAAACATGTACTCTGTAGATCAACCCACAATGTTCTAGCCTACACAAAATCAAATAAGTAGCTCTAAATAGAATACAACTGTAAAACATTCACTTTAACAAAATACTTTGGCAGTTTCTTATAAAACTAAACATGCAATTATCTTCTGACCCAGCTATTACACTTTTAGGGATTTATTTCAGAGAAATAAAAAGTTATGTTCATACAAAAAACCTATATATGAAGGTCCATAGAAACTTTATCTGTAATAGTAAAAAAAACAAACTGGAAGTAACCCAGATATTTGTCAATAAGTGAATGACAATAGGTCTCAGAAAAAAAAAGCAAGTAACATGATCTATACTTTTATTTTGATTATTATCTCATTCACTATGTAAAAATCTTATCTCTCCTACTATATTAAAGGTACCTAAGATCAGGATATATTTCTGATGTATCGCTATCATCCCATACTAGGTGCCAAAACTACAGATTGAATAAAGAACCCAACAGGAAAGAAACTCTACATACAAAGTTAACTTATATAGATAATAGAACTTTACTCCCAAACTAATCTTATAAAAATATTAAAAAATGTATAAGGAGACTAAAGCAAAAATTAACAAAATAAAGAAATATGGCATAATTATCCTATGATTTTAGGTTTGCACATGACTATTCTATTTTTATGCACTCATAAGATTTGTCAATACTTCAAATTAGAAAGATAGTCTGCTATGCTTCATATAGTAGAAAGTAAAAACCATACATAAATTTTGACCATATCAGGCACAGAGAAAATTTCAACTTCAAGGTCGGTCCTCAGAAGAAATCTGAATTGCCCAATATGAGTGGCTTCCCTGCACAATCTACCAGTAGAATGTTTCCACATCAAAGAAGCTGTTGCTAGGGGAATGCATCACAGAGGTCCAGGGAAGGGAAAGGAGGATCTCTAAAAGTGGTACTACTAGTAAGACCTGTGGGTCTGTATTTCCCCAGTCAATGAAGTGAAAACAAAGTGGTTTCATCAAGCATTAGAGAACTTCAGAACTCTTAAGAAAGTGACCCCACTGAAAGTAACCATTCTGGCAAATGTGAAACTCACATTTTGGGTCTTTCTTTTGAGAAATTCTTGGAATAAGTCAAATTTTATATTCCAATACCTACACCTCATCAAGGGAGAAGTACTTTGAGAGGAGGAGAAAAATGATGATTCCATCTACTATTCCTAAACTTTAGGGGTCCTCAAACTTTTTAAGCAGGGGGCCAGTTCACTGTCCCTCAGACCGTTGGAGGGCCGGACTACAGTTTAAAAAAAAACTATGAACAAATTCCTATGCACACAGCGGCGGCAAAAACACCCAGCGGGCCAGATAAATGTTTTCGGGGGGCCGCATGTGGCCCGCGGGCCGTAGTTTGAGGACCCCTGTGCCTAAAGTAAAGATGATTTGTCTGAAATGCTGATATCTTATTCCAGGGATGTACTTTTATGTCAGAGAAAGTATATCCCTATTATATATTCTTGATATGAGAATCACTAGGATTATATTTCAAATATCATCTAATCTAAGAGTTGTCAACTTTGCCCGTACATCAGAATTTCAAAGAAAACTCAATATATATTGATACCCTGGCCCCAGTAGGGTTACATGTGGGAAGCAACCAATTGATGTGTCCTTTTCACATTGATGTTTGTCTTTCTCTCTCTCCAACTTTTCCTCCCTCCCTTCCACTCTCTCTAAAATTCAATGGAAAAAATATCCTCAGGTGAGGATTAACAACAATAATGTATATATTTGAAATAAATAAATAAAAGTAACCCAGATATTTTGTCAAATCCAGTGACCTGAAAAAATTCACTATCTCAAAGAATTAACTGTATCCCCATGTTCATTGCAGCATTATTCACAATAGCCAAGACTAACTAAGTGTCCATCAATGTGAGACAGGCTAGTAAGCCCGGACACGTGGAATAGAGAAACTGAGACAAATAGCTGAAAAACTGTCTGAGAAACTTACAGCCAGATAAAGTAGGTCACCTCCATAGCGATGACATCTAGGCCTCAGTTATATTGCAGCTCCAGGCCCAGAAAAGCAGCAAAACCAGGTGGGCAAGGCCAGGACCAGCTGCAGTGACTGATGACCCCCTGCCCAGGCACTGACCAATCAGTAGAGGCCACAACCATGAAAGAGCACACCTGGAAAACTGGTGAATATTCTGCTGAAACCCTCCTGCGGCCGCCCCGAAGATTCCCGCCTGCAAGAGAGAAAAGCCTCCAGCCAAAGAGTCCAGCTCATGCTCTCCCTCTGGGGAGCAGCCTGCACATTCCCTTTCCCTTCGTCTTCCCCAACTTTCCCCCCAGGGCATGCATCTCCTAAACTCTAAGGGACCCCACGAGACTTGCAACCAGGGGAGCAATGGGCAGCAACTGCTCACCTGGGCTAACCTGTCTTCAAGGCCCCCTTTTCTCTGACTTCCCAGGGAGCCAAAGCAGCCCAGCCTGTGCTCTCCTGTTGCTTCTTCTGTGCTAAGCCCTTCCTTATTTCACTGTCCCCAGTTTTAATAAATGTAACCTCACAGTCACCTGGACTCATGTTGTGAAATCTTTCCTACAGGAAGTCAAGAACCCACACACTACCATCTGGCCCTAGGCAGGCTCGGTCAGGGCCAGGTCCCCTGTACGGTAACAAATGGATAAATGGATAAAGCCATTTTTTTAAAAAGGAAATCCTGCCTTTTAAGACAACAGGGATGGACCTGGATGGCATCACCTTACGTGAAGTCGGAGAAAGACAAATACTGTAAGATGTTATTTGAATGTGAGATCTAAAAAAGCTGAATTTATAGAAATACAGTAATGGTTGACAGGGGCAAGGGTGGTAGGGAAATAGGGAGATGGTAGTCAAAGGCTACAAACTGCCTACTATAAAGTTAATAAGTCCTGGAGATCTAATGTACGGTGTGACTATAATTAACCATACTGTATATATATTTGAACGTTAAGAGTCAACGTTAGCCTGGCCGATGTGGCTCGGTGGATGGGCATCCACCTGTGAACCAGGTCACAGATTCCTGGTCAGGGCCCAGGCCAGGGTTGGGAGGTTCGATCCTCAGTAGAGGGCGTGCAGGAGGCAGCAGATGGATGATTCTCTCTCATCATTGATGTTGATCTCTCTCTCCCTCTCCTTTCCTCTCTGAAGTCAATAAAAAAAATTTTTTTAACAGAGTAAAATTTAAATATTACCACCATGCACACAAAAAGATAATTATGTGAGGGGATGGAACTATTAACGACCTAATTGTGATAAGAATTTTGTAATAAATACGTGCATTAAAACCATCATGGTGTACACCTTAAACTTACATACATGTCCATAATACCTCAAAAAAGCTGGGGGCGGGGGTGGGGGGACTTAGGAGACCTGAACAATTGATTTCTGAGCTGTATCGGATGACTGTAACCTAACTCATAGGACTCGGGGCATGTGCAGAACCAGTCCTCACAAACACCCAGCTGCCTGGGGTCCTCCAGTCCTGCCGCCCCCCCCCCCCCATCTCCCGTATCCTGCGGAGCGGACGCCTACGGGGAGCCGAGCTGCCCTTCGCGTCCGTTCTCCAAGCCCGTCTGCGCGGGGGTCTGACAAGGTCGAGCCTTGCTGGCAAAGCGGACGACCCGCCCTCGCACTGGCCAACCCCGGGCTACCCCGCACACGGAGGTGACCCCGCACACGGAGGTGACCCCGGACACGGAGGTGACCCCGGACACGGAGGTGACCCCGCACACGGAGGTGACCCCGGACACGGAGGTGACCCCGCACACGGAGGTGACCCCGGACACGGAGGTGACCCCGCACACGGAGGTGACCCCGGACACGGAGGTGACCCCGCACACGGAGGTGACCCCGGACACGGAGGTGACCCCGCACACGGAGGTGACCCCGGACACGGAGGTGACCCCGCACACGGAGGTGACCCCGGACACGGAGGTGACCCCGCACACGGAGGTGACCCCGGACACGGAGGTGACCCCGCACACGGAGGTGACCCCGGACACGGAGGTGACCCCGCACACGGAGGTGACCCCGGACACGGAGGTGACCCCGCACACGGAGGTGACCCCGGACACGGAGGTGAGCGCCCGCGAAACCGATCTCCCGCGAGACAGCCCCTCCGCCTCCGCACCCGATAGGCCGGAATAGAGACCCCGCCCCCTCCTCAGCGGTTCCCGGCCCCACACGAAGGCGCCGTCTGAAATGACTCCTTCCACCAGCCACTCATTTCTTCCCTCCAGGCATCACGGAGTTCAAACTCCCGCCGCATTCCAGACCCTCCACCCCCTCGCTGCTACCAGACGGAGAGAAATGCGTTCTTTCGGACTGCGCAGGCGCAGGCAGGTGCGGGCGGGGCGGCGGCGCAGGCGCAGAAGCAAGCTCCTCCTCGGCGGTCGCTAACCTCGTGGGCCGGCTCGGCTGTTCGCTGCAGCGAGGGGAGTCCAGCCTTGGTTTTGGCGGCATCCATCGTGGGCAGCGGACTAGGAAAGGTCATGGCGCCGGCGGAAATCTTGAACGGGAAAGTGGTCTCCACGTAAGCACCTGTCGTTGTCAGGGCGCGTTGGGCTGCAGGCAAGGGTTCTGAGCAGGGTGTGCAGGTCAGCAGCAATGGACCCATTTTTTTTTTTTTTTGCGGGAGGGAGACCTGGAGCGCAAAATCAGACCATCCCGGTGGGCAGGAAGGACCTTGTCCTGAGCCCTTCACATCGGAAGACTGGTCTCCTGTAGCTGAGAAAAGGGGCTCGGGCACAATCCGCGTTTGCAGATGGGCTGTCTGTGGCTGTGCCCGCTGGCGACGGTGCTTCTGGGACAAGCCCTCTTACCTGGCCCGCTCTGCTCCCAAAAGTGCGGCTGCTGACAACTTTAATTTCAGAGAGGAAGGGACAGGGAGAGAGAGAAAGAGAAAGAGAGAAAGAAACATCAATGATGAGAGAGAATCATTGATCGGCCGCCTCCTGCACACGGGGGATCGAGCCCACCACCCCGGCATGTGCCCCGAGGGGGAATCTAACCTTGACCTCCTGGTTCATAGGTCCATGCTCAACCAACTGAGCCATGCCTGCCGGGCAGGGGCTTAATTTTCCCTTCAATTTAATACTCCTCTAACAACCATCTCCGTGTCCTGGTCCTAGAGTTACATTCTAGTTTGGCTCTTGAATTTTGACAATATTCCATATTCCATTTGACTTCTTCCTGTGTTAGTTACCCCCACTGGAATACCTAGTGGATATGATTGCCAGGCTTACTCCCAGGAAGTGATCCCCCTCTGCTTTTTGTGTAGGAGGTGACTAGTGGAGAAAGATGAGGCTGGAAGAGAGAAAGACGTACAGGGTGGTGCAAAAATAGGTTTACAGTAATAATAATGCAAGAATAAACGGTTTCACATAGTCACAACTGTAAACCTACGTTTGCCACGCCCTCTTGCAGGTTGCTCTTGGGACCTTGAACCTCACCAGTTATTTTGTAACTGCTGTAGTTGGCAACAATAACTCCTATGAACTCCTAATTTTGTGAGTAGAGACTTTTTAGTGAATTATAGAGTCGTTGGTGACGAAACCCACCTTGGAGCAAAGTGATGGTTTCCTGGAGAAAGAAAGTGAAGTGTGAATTAGATTGTGGTGACTCACACTGGTGAGGAGAAGCCCCAGGCTTTTAGACTAGAAATCACAATGCTTATATCAGGTTGCTTTTTTTTAATAAACTTTTTTTTTTAATTCTTTATTA